GCCAGCGCGCGCGCCTCGGCGCCGAGGCAGCCCACCAGCTCCTTCGCGAGCACCCCGTAGACACAGCCCGACACGGATAGGCACACGGCGCGCTCGGAGTGTGCGCGGGCGCCGGCGAGGTGGGCCGCGAGCCCGAGCGCGTGCGGCGGCGTCACCTGCGCCACCGTGCACCACAACCGCCGAGGCCTTGGGCGCCAGCCGCCGAACGCCTCCGCGGTGCTGCCCGCCGAGCCCGAGGCTGCGCCGTCCTCGGAGGGGTGGTCGCGGCCACCGCGGCGGCCGCTGCCGTCGCCGCGGCCGCACGGGGGGCCGCGGCCCTTGCTGCTTGCGTGGCTTCCGCTGCTGGCAGGACCCACGGGCGGCTCCAGGGTCTCCACGGGCCTACAGAGCGCGAGCTCCCCGCTGTGGGCGAAGTAGACTTGCACTGTGGACGAGCCGACGTCGAATAGCACCTGACCCTTGCGCAGCTCCCTTCGGTGCATCACGGAGCAGATCCGGGTCAGGCACGCCACCGTCCAGGAAGAGAAGAAGTTCGGCTGGGGGGAGGCGGCCGCGTCGGCGAGAAACGCCAGGCGCGCGCGCCGCTCCTCCTCGAAGGCCCCGGCGAGGATGCGCTGGTAGTCCTCCCTGTGGAGCACCGCGAAGTGCGTGGCCGCCAGCGTCCTGACGGTGGCGGTGCGCGGCGAGTCCAGCTGCAGCGCCACCTGCCCGAACGCGTCGCCCCCTCGGAAGGTTGCGACCTGCCTCAGGCCCGCCGGCACGGGCGAGCTGGCACTGCGCAGGCGGGCCACCGCCCGCACGCGGGACGCCGCGAGGCGCCAGCCCGTGCCTTTGACGCGCGGCGGCGCGCATCCGGCCTCGCAGCACCGCGCACCGTCGGCGGCCGCCGACCTGCCACGAGCGTTCTCCGTCTCCTCGTCCTCCTCGCCGCTGTCCTCGGACCGGTCGGAGGAGGCCGCCTCCTGCAGCATGAAGAGCGTGCTCTGCGCCCTGAACCTGGCCGAGTTGACGAGCCCCATCTCCGTGGACACAGAGGCTCGGTGGCTCAGGCGGTCCATGCGCTGCTCCTGCAGCCGCCGCTGCCGCTCCTCCCGGAGGGCGCCAGCCGTGCACCTGCGCCGATCCTGGCCAGGCCGCCCCTGGGCCCAGGATGTAGGTGTGCCTTCTTGCCCACGGCCAGCGGGGCGTGCACACCGATCCCAGGCCCAGGGGGAGCTTTTGCCACGCTCGGCATGTGTGTGTGTGTGTGCATAGCTGGCGTCCTCCGATCCTCCTGCCGCCTCTGGCGCTGGGACTCCGCCGCCGCAGCCCGCTCGGCCTCCTCGGAGTCGAGCACCTCGTCCAGCGAGACGTCGCGAACGTACACGCCCACCGTGCCATCGAGCACGACGTAGAAGAGGGACCCCGGGTCGCCCTCCCTGAAGACCGTGTGGCAGCCGTGGACAAACTGGTGCCTCAGGGCGCCGCAGCAGCTCTGGCGCACCCCCTCGTCCAGCTGCTCGAAGAAAGACACGCCGCGCACGCCCTCCGATATCGCCTTCACGTTCTCCGGCGTGCGACTCTCCGGCGGCTTTCGCAGGAGGTGGTGCAGCTCCCTGCTGGTCGGGGGGCTCATTCCACAGCGCGCGGCCGCCAGCGCTGCAGCGCGCCGCGAGGACCAGCTGGGACGCCCAGCCAGGGCGCGAAGGGGTGCCGGGGGACGCGCAACTGTCAGAGGATCGAGGGAGGCTGGGATGGGAGAGGCCCCCAACTTCCTCTGAAGCGCTAGTTAGAAACAAACAACTCGAACCAAGCTGAGGTGAGGAGGAAGAGGACGAAGCAATAAGCAAAGACGAGGGGGAAGGATGAGGAGGAGGAGGCGGAGGAGGAGGAGGCGGAGGAGGAAAAAAGGGAAATAGGGAAGAGGGGGAGGGATATGAGACTGGACGCGGCAGGAGGAGAACGACCGAGAGGGACGGAGGCGAGAGATGGGGGACATATCTAGACAGGAGGAATGAAACTTTGGCTTGATCGCGCCGCAAGTCACAATGACCCCCGGACCTCTCCCGTTGGCGTTCTGGCCAGGACCTCGAGCTGGATCCGGCCGTGACGACCAGGGGGGGCCCAGGATGCCTCTCAAGGGGCCCCAAACGACCAATCTCCTCGACCCCCAACCCCCGACGGCGACGGCGACGCCGACGACCGCGCCGCCGACGACGACGTCGACGACGCCGATTTCCGATGACGCCGAAGGTGCCCATCCCCGACGACGACGACAACGACGGCAACGCCGACGGCGCCGACGCCGATCTCCAATGACGACGACGACGCCGCCTTGTGCGAGGACGGGGCGCGGCGGACGCGCGCGCCAGGCGGCGTGGGCCGCTGGCCGGCGGGTGCGCCCAGGGCAGCGTGCGCAGAGGCGGCAGCCCAGGGCGGAGGCCAAGGGAGCCGTGCAGCACTTTTTCGTCGCGGGGCGCCAGCGATCGCTCAGCGCGGAGGGGCCCAGGCCAGGCTGCGACGCGGCGGGGGGGGGCGAGGACGGCTGGGAGAGGGGACCGCTGGCGGTGTGTGTGTGTGTGTGTATGTGTGTGTGTGTGTGTTTGTGTGTGTGTGTGTGTGTGTGTTTGTGTGTGAGAGTGCCCCATGCGTGTGGAACCCATGCGCGTGGAAACCCACGCGCGCGGGTACGCGGTGGGTTGCGCGGTGGGTCGCGCGGTGGGTCGTGCGGTGGGTCGTGCGGCTGCGCGGTGGGCTGCGCGGTGGGCTGCACGGTGGGTTGCGCGGGACTTGAGGGGTGGTTAGAACTGCCGGCCCCGCCGCACCGGGTCCAGTTCCTTACAGCGCAAACGTTAGACAACAGCACTGTGTGCAGACACTGTTTGGGAAACGTGAGGTCGGGGGCTTCCGGAAGCTTGTTTGACATCGCCGCCGCACGCAGTCCCAACGGCCTCTGGACGTACGTGGTTTCGCGCGCTTCCTCCTCCAACTCCTACTCCACCCTCCGGCTGGGGAGGGCCCGAGGGGTTAGAGCGTCCCGAACGTCCAAAGATGGTTTCCTACATCTCAGGATGGCCTGCGAGATGGCACGATATAGCATGAGATGGCCTCCAGCATGCCTCTGAGAGGTTCCAGTACTGCCTCAAGATGGCTCGAGGTGGCTTCGGAGCCTCCAAATAATACCCCCAACAGGCCAACATCCCCCAACAGCCCTAACATTCAAAATAGTTGGTGCTTTCCCGCCTTTTACCTTCCAGTGCATTTCTGAGGCCTCTTATGGCTCTAGGAACGCCCAAGAAGAGCCCCGCGAGGGGGGCCAGAAGAGTACCAATGCGGCCCCCAGAGTGCCCAAGAGCGTCCTAAGGGAGCTCGGAGAGGCGACTCTTCGGGCTCCAGAGGGGCAGGGCCAATCCACGCCGCTCCCTCTCGATCGACGTCCTCCGAGATGGCCCCAGGAGGGCTCGAAAGGACCCAAGGAGAGCGTGATGCGCACAGACTTGTGCACGCAAGGGCATCTGCACTCTGCGACTGGTCATCGCTCGGACGTCTATTCCCCGTTCATTTTCCGGTTTCGTGCGTTTATTTTTCGCAATTTGATCCAAGATGCTCGTCGATGGTTCTCGCCGAGAAGAAATGCACACGTCCGAGCAATGCCGAGTTGTATTCTACGCTGGCCCCGAAGGCCTCCTCCTCCCTCCTCCTCCGCCTCCTTCGACGGCAAGCTCCAAGGTTCTACTCCTGGGTATGCTCGGGCTGATCCCGAGCTTCGGCGTGATGTCGGGGGTTGAAAATGGTGCCACTGGCCCTTTGGGCCTCGCTTTTCGCTCCATTTTGGAGTCCTGGGGGCCCTCTGGGCCTCGTGAGGGGTGCTCTGGAGACCGTGGGGGCCTCCTTGGAAATCCTGGGGGCACCTTGGGCCAAGGGCACTTCTAACAACACCCGACGATGGCAGCCTCACCTCTTTTTTCCGCTGCATGCTCATACATTCGACTGATCAAGGCGGCTCGCCTGGCGGTCGTTTCTGGATGGACTGGTGGGGATGCTCGATGCGTCAATCATCCGTGTTCGTGTCGTGCGTGACGTGGGCGCGAAGCTGCGAGCGAGCTCCTAAGTCTTGAGGGTGACTGGAAGGCAAAAACCTTCCTGCTGCTGCTACGTCGGTGGTCGTCAAGTGCCTGGTGTCACCCGTGTTATGGTGCCGTGGTCTTGGTGTTGTTGTGTCGTGGTGTCGTTTTGTCGCGGTGTCGCCGTCGCATGGTTTACGTATGTTGCAAACATACAACCGGCATGAAATGAACTGAAATGACATGCCTTGAATCCGTGTGAATTTTATTTTAGTTATCTTCGAGGTCGTCGTCAAGACGTCCCAGGAAACATCTCTGGTCGCCATCGGTCCTTTTGGGGCTCCTTTGGCAAGACCCCTCAGAAATATCGCCAACCCTCGGATATGATTGTATTGCAACAGCTTGAGCTGATTGGCTTGAACCAGAGCCGCGGGCTGGCAATTTTTCGATGGCGTCTTGACGTATGGGCCCAATCCATGAGGCTGTGAACAGTCCACATGAACTGGAGCCGCGGGCTGGGGATTTCATGGGGCGTCTTGACGTATGGTCTCAATCCATGAAACTTCCAAGTCGTCCACGCATTCCACTTGCACTCCAGCGGGTCAACCCCCAAACCTTTCCTCTGCCACAAGCCGGTCCAACTACCAAATCATACATACACACACGCGCAGACATACGTGTATATATAATGTGTATATACATGTATATCTGTTACACATATGTATATATGTAAACAGAAGCAGCGAGCGCGCGGGTGCTGACCATCGCACCCTGACGTCAGAACCGATGATAACGTACGGCTCCCGTCTACGCACGAACACGCGTAACCGAATCGTAAATCAGGAACACCAAACTGAAGCAACGTCGAGGGTACCCTTCTCCATATTGCACAGGGACGTGGACACGTACCGACGAACGCGAAGGCGCCCACCTCGAACCAAACATGTTCTCTTACGCCTCCCTCTGGCTGTGCTCGTGCAGTGCAAATCACGCAAGAAAGCCGACCGCGAGTGGCAGCGGTGCTCGACGTGACCTGGCGCTGCCCGCGGCCCTCGTTTCCGCTCCGAGCTCCTCGACTGCGCGCCGCCGCAGCGCGACCTACGCGCAGCCGCCCGTCGGCGGCGCGCCGGGAGGGGGGGTGCCGCAAGAGCGGCGGCGCGCCTTCTCTCGGAAGGCGGCGGGGCTTCCCGGAAGCCCCTAGTTATGGCCTGCTGGGACTCCGCCTCTGGCCTCGGACAAGGCCCAGCAAGCTTCTCGGACGGCCAGGTGCCTTCCGAGCCCTCCGAGGAGGCCCGCCCGCTCTGCCTTCCCCCCCCCCCCCCGGAGCGCCGCCGAACCAGTCGGCACCCCCGGCGCAGGGGTCCGGGCCGCCTCGAGGCGCGCGTCGATGCCCCGCGCGACGGGGCCGCGCCCGGCAGAGCTGCACCCCGGGGCGCCCGGGCGCGCCAGGCGAGGCCGCGCCGACCATCATAACATGAAGACGACGGCTGTGGTGGCGCGTCACCCCCTCCTGTATCGAGGGGCAACAGTAAGGGGGGAGGGGCTGGCTCAGGGGGGGTGGAACATCAACCTGGGGAACCTGCGATGCCTCGCCGATAGCTCGGCGATGTGCCCGCGACAGCGACAGCGTGCGCTCCTGAGCGGGGGTGGGCCAGCAGGCCGCTATCGGCGATGAGTGGGCGATTGGGGGTCGATGCGTCATCCCCTGAGCCAATCACCTTGTGGCCTTCGGGTCATACATCGGGCCTCCTGCGGCCGTTCGGGACGATCTGGGCACCCCCAGCATGCTCTCGGCGAGGCGCACCTGCTGGCGAGCACCCAGAGGCTGGAAAAAGCCACTCAGAACCGACGAAAACGTCCGAACGCCTCGCGAACCTCGAAGCTTCATCCCCCCCGAACGTTGCCCCTGATGTACTGGGGTAGCCTCGAGCGGAGCGCTCCTCGTGTCAAGAGGAGGAGGAGGAGGAGGAGGAGGAGGAGGAGGAGGAGGAGGAGGAGGAGGAGGAGGAGGAGGAGGAGGAGGAGGAGGAGGAGGAGGAGGAGCAGCAGCAGCAGCAGCAGCAGCAGCAGCAGCAGCAGCAGCAGCAGCAGCAGGATGAGGCTGATTTAAGCTGATTTAAAGCATGGAGCGAGCTCCATCGCATCCAGCGAAACTCAATAAACATATTATTGAGTTCGGTACTGCCTGTTACCGCACGGCGAGTCCTAAAAAGTTACGGGGAGCCCGAGTCCCCCCGGGCCTTCAGCTCCCGAGCCTCCCTCGCGCGCTCCGAGAGACACCAATCTACCGCTTCCCGCGGATCAGAGAAGCCGTGCAAGGCAGCGACCCGATACATATCGAGAGGCTCTGGGGGTACCAGCCCATAGGTGGTCCCAACAGGCTCTGGCCCCGAACCAGAAGAAACTCTCAGCTTCGCCGCCCACTGCGCTCGGACTTCCAACGACGGGGTGACGACCGACTCGAGCCGTGGGGGCGGCGACTGAGTTGAATTAGGATGCAGGCCTCGCCGGAGCCTGCTCCTCTGCGTGGCCAGCCCTGGATGCCGATTACCCTTGCATATGGTGGCCAGCCCAGAATCAGGCCTGAAATTTTTCTGCACGCTGCCGCCACAACCCGTGCAAAACAGAACAGGAGGCTCACCGACGGAGCCGTGCACCGCAGCCTGAACGATCTCATGACCTTGAAAAAGCCACGGGCGCAGCACGCTGCAGCCACTCCCGGCGGCAGCCCTGGTCGCCGCCGCGGGTGCCGCGCTGGTGGCCGAGCCGGGAAAAAGCTCGGGCGGGAGGGCTATGCGAGACTGGAGCTGCGACCGCTGCTCGCAATGCCTTTCCCGCTCGCTGGCCTCGTCAGGGCTGAGGCTCGAAACTTCCAGTTCTAGATCCAGGACGACATCGGCCGTGCCGCCGACGCCGTCGGAGTCCTCGTGGCCAGACTGGTGGAGCCACTCATGGACCCTCCCCATCCACACGGCCGCGTCCTCGGCCCTGCGCTCGCAGGCCTCCACAAAAAGTTCTTGCTCCGGGGCCACATCCCAAAGCTGAGCCCCTTTCTTGGCCCACTCATCCGCGAGGCGATTGCCCCGCAGCTTCCACAAGTCTTCGAAAGACGTGGCATCCTGGGCGCTCCGATGGGCTTTGACCTTCGCGACCGTGGCAGAAGAACCAACCTTGTCCCACCAGAGCTTCCAAAGGTGGCGCCGCTCATTCCTGGGGTCCAAAGCTTTGGACGAATTAATGGCGCAACCCACAGAGCCAGCACAATCACTGAACACTTCAAGCGGCACGCCTGAATTACCTTCGGACGGAGGCTCCGAAAACCGAGCCAACATGTGTAACGCGTAATCCTCCCCGTCCCGCGCCCACTGCTCGGGCCCCCAAGCCCTCGGAACCACCCCATACATGCAAGCAACAAAATTGCCGGCTTGGTCCGCCTGCACGGCCGCCCAGCCCGCGCGTCTACAAGAACCGTGCTTAGTGCTGAAGGCCGATCCGTCCACGAAGATGGGCCCCCCCCAGAGCCACCCAGGATGGGCGCCCACAAACCTGACCCAGTGCTCCTCAGGAGCCTCAGGTCGGCCAAAACAATTCTCGGGGGAGGGGAAGAGGCAACGCGAGAAAAGCTCGGCCTCGTCAGCACCCAGCTTGCTCACTCTGCTGGCTGCGACACCAAGCGAATTAGGCATGTCCGTGCGCCTGAGGCCAGCAGAGCACGGGCAGTCGAACCCCCTATGGAAGAGAGTGCCTACACAGCCACACAGTTTGCACTGGTCCGAGATAGACCGCCCGTGGCGGTGCAAACGCGCTTGCGGCCAGTGGGTCCCCGAGACCAGGCTGCGAACAAGGTTCCTGCCGTGCCGACTGAGTCCCAGCCCCGGCTTCCCGAACAAGATTTTATCAAGAGGTCTCCAATTCAGAACAGAGCGCCAGCACTTATATTTACTGATGCATACAATATCGTTGGCAGCGACTGCCATGTATTTCACCGCCGCCACCGCCCTACCGGGGGAGAAAAACCTGAGGTCGACCACCTCTCCGCCTGGCCCGACAAGTTCCGTGGCTGACCTCATGCTGGCCCCTATTCTGGCAAGCGCGAGGTGGAGGGCCGGGCAGGGTTGCTGCACTGACTCCAGGGGGCCCTGGACTTCAGAATGCCGCGAGACTGCTCAAGCACCGCTTCCAAGACCGAGAGGGCTGGAAGGGAGGTCTCGACACACATGGCCCAAGCATGCATGACCTCCCCAACGTGGACGACCGCGGGGTCCCTCCAGAAGGCTTTGTACATCGATCGGAGCCTCAGTCCTACGTTGGCACCTGCGGGAAGTCGACCTTCCGAACGAAGGGCGCCGACCCGTAGCCCATGGAGCTTGTTGTCGGCCAGCCCCGTGACGGCCGAGCCCCAAATCGCAGTGGCGGTGGGGGATCCGCGGTGGATGCGCTCCACGGCTGCGCCGGCTTCCCGAAGAACATGGACACGCTGGGCAGCAACCCGCGCCTTAGCCGGGCGTTTGTCCTGCTCGACGACGGACCTCCTGACGCCGTCAGAGCCGTCACCGCCGAGGCATCGCAACCCTCGGCTCTGCTCGATCTCGCCGGCCCAAGCGGCCTCGAGTCGGGCCGCGAGCGCACTGTCGGCCGTGAGCCAACCCGTCTTGCCCCAGTTGACTTTCAATTTCCGGGCCTGCAAGCCTTCTACCACAAAGGCCAGGGCGGCGGGCAGCTGAGCGGCAACAAGATCCACGGTGCCGAGCGCCTGCAGCAGCTGGTCGTCCACCAGCGACTGCGACCGCACCAAGGGGAAGCGCCGCGCTTGCTCCACCAAGAGGGTGTGGACCATCAGCTTCGCGAGCCCGAGCGCGCAGGAGCATCCTGCGGCAATCGTGCCATTGGCGCGGATGGTGATGCCGAGGGCGCCCGCGAACCTCGCGCGCCTCGGCAGGCGGTAGGCGCAGCACAGAGCCTTCAGCAGCGGCAGCGGGAAGCGCGTGGCCCGCGCTACCCTCAGCAAGATGTTGTGGGAGACGTACTCGTAGTACTTGCTGAGGTCGAGGGCCGCGGTGCCCGCCGCCATGCCGTCCTGCTGGGCGCAGAAGGCGGCCAGCAAGTTGTGGACGTGACCAGCGCGATCACACGTCCTGTCAGCGCCGCCCCAGTAGAAGCTGCCCTCCAGCCTGCGCTCCCACTCCGCGACCAGCGGCTGGCGCATCCTCGACCACAGCCGCAGCCAGATGCAGTTGAGGATGATGGGCCTCAATCCGCCTGCTGGCCCCGCCTTGGGCAAGAAAGCGATGAGCATGAGCCAAAGGGAGCTCTCGCCGGGCGAAAGCTCCCAGCACCTCAGCACGTCCAGGAAACGCTCCTTGTAGCTCTTCGGCAGCCAGCGCAGCTGCCGGGGGTGGAGCTGATCCCAGCCCAGACCAGCCCTCTCGCCGTACTTGTCTACGGCTGCGTCCAGGTCGGCCACCTGCAGACGCGGAAGGATGGAGACGTCGAACTCCTGGCCCGCCCAGTCCCGAGGATGTCCCTCATCTGATCGGTCGGGGTTGACCCACAGCGGCTCCCACTGCCTCATGAGGTAATCCATGGCCTCATCTCCCCCGAGTGGGAGGACAAGGCCCGATTCGTCGTCGTGGGCCTCGATGACGGTGGGCCGCACCTGGGCCGCCCGCACATAGGCATAGGCCTGCTGCCCCCCCTTGGCGGACGCCGCCTCCTTGGCCCAGGCTTGCCATAGGGCCCGCTGCTGGTGCTGGCCCCGCCTCCTCAGGCTCAGCACGTGGTCATCCATGACCCGCAGGAGGTACGACGAGGCGGAGGCCGAGTCGCTGCCGAACACCTTCAGCATCTTCTCCACGGACATGTTGGCCAGAGCCCCTGACTGCGGCCACCAACCATCTTCGATGACGAACGAGTTGATGACCTTCAGCTGCCGGTTGAGCGCCGAATACCTCGACCACCTCCTGCTGCGCATTATGGCCTGCAAGGAGCACGCGCGCTGGCAGGCCGCCAAGAGTCCAGCCCAGCAGCGGTACTCGGCCGAAGTGCGCGCCTTGAGCTGGCTCTGCCACTCCGTGACGAAGGGGGCCCGCTGCTCCCGGAGGCAATGGCAGCGGCCCTCCTTACGGCTGCCAGAGCCGTGCAGGCAGGAGAGGTAAGCCTCTGCCCTCTGAAACCAGGCCAGCGTCGCGGCATGAAGGTCGGAAGGGAGGCCTCCTGCCTCCCAGGGCCACGCGCTGTCGCCGACCTCCGGCGGGGCAGGGCGCGAGGGCGGCGGAAGCACGATGGGGTAGGCCGCGGGGAGTACAGCCCTCGTCACCTTGGCTTCAGCGTGGAGCCCATGAAGCCGCAACATTACTGGCACATGCGTGCGGATGGCCGTCCCGTCGACCACATCCACGCTGCGAACGAAGTTCCCCAGCACACGGGACACCACGAAGAAGTCTAAGACTCGCCCCTCGCAGGTAGGGATATCGGGTGCCACCGCGACGCCCTGGGCTAGACGAGCCCACTCCTGGACCTCCGCGGGCTCCAGGTTCCAGTCGCCTCCCACCACCCAAGGCCCTTGGAGACCTGCGATCCCCCCCAGGAGCCTCTCGAGGTGTGTGAGGTTCGGCTCCGTCAGCCCGACCTTCGTCGTGAGGTACAGGCTGATGAAGTAAATCGGCACCCCCAGGCCAGTGTTCACCACCCCGACCTGGAAGCGGCTGCGCGGCAGGGCCTCCTGCAGCACACCAAAGCCATCCAGCAGCGGCAAGGAGCTGAGCACGGCAACCCCGCTGGACGACTGGTTCGCCTTGCCGCCAGTAGACTCCGCGTGGCCGAAGACCGAATTCAGGCCCCCCTGCGAGGCCCACTTCCTGGCCGAGTCCACCAGGCGCGGCTCCTTGAGGCGGTGTTCCTGCAGCAACACCACGTGGGGCGCGGTGGGCGCGCCCCCGCCGCCTCCAACTCTCCCGCACTGGGTGCCGTGGGCCACCGAAGCTGCACCAGCAGCCAAGCGCGCCACCAGCAGGTCCTGGCCTGAAGACCACGCCGTAACGTTCGCCGTGAGGATATCGAGGTCCGAGACCCGCGGCGAGCTCCCGCTCGCGATGGCCGGGCTGCCCCAGCCGCGGCTTCTTGGCAGCGGCGAGCAGCACAGCCTGGGCCCTCTTGACCTTCTCCCTGTCGGCCTCCTGGGAGAGGTCGAACTCCCCGAGGCCGGCCTCTTTGAGC